TGTGTGTGTATGTGTATGTGCGTGTATGTGTTGTATAAGCACATGTATTATATGAGATAACACTGCAATAGAAACAGTGAGTAATATTGAAAGGTTTTCGCCAACAGGTAATGTCACTGTGAGATTATCATCTCAACCTAGTCTTCCATCTTTCAACACTTCCTTCTACAAAAGGAAAATAAACAATCATAGACTTTGCATCTAAACCTTTATCAGAGTGCTTCATAGTAAGAGGTCAGTTATTAACCCAACTCTGTGGTTACAACTGGATTCAGGAAAGTATATGGATGTATGGTTTGCACTTATGATGATCACTTACAATTGTCAACCTGACACAAGATAGAATCACCTGGGAAGTAACTCATCAATGGGAAGGAATCTGGGAAGAGTCATCAGCAAAGACCTCTCTGGATTCGGCTAGCCTGTGTGCATACTTGTGAAGGATGGTTTTATGTTCACGGATACAGGAAGACCTGGTCCACCATGGGCGGCACCATTCCTGGGCATGCATGCATTCATTTCTTCTGCTCTTGACTGTGGATGCTGTGCAAGTGACTGCTTCAAGTTCCTACCTGGATGGACTGTAACTTGGAACTGCAAAATGGATAAATCCTTTCTCCCTCAAGGTTCATTAAAATTCCCTCAGGGAACATTATCACAGTAGCAGAAAGAAACAACCACAGAAATCATTACACAAATGAGAGGAAAGAGACTGAGAGAAATTATACAATGGGTATTTAGTTCAGCATAATCTTAGATATTATAATTTAAATATTTCTTCATGATTCACAATTTTTGACATATTTCAGAATGTTAATGTGCAATGGTTATACTCTATGTTTATGCAAATGAACATAAGGAAGCATCTTAATCTGGAATTATCCAGATTCTGAAATGTTTTCCCATTGACATGATGCCCGAGGATTGATACCATACATCTGACCTCAGGTGACAAGTCATAGTCAAAATGCAGGTGCATTATACTATTGTAACAAATTATCTGTAGGCCATGTATATTGTGGATACATGAAGAATACATGAATCTCCTGTTTGGACTCAGGTACCATGCCCAGAATTTATTACTATGTATATTTAAATATTTAAAAACAAGTATCATGCTCAAAGCACTTCCATTCCAGGCATTCCAGATGAGAGAGACTTGGCATTTGCCAACTGAGAAAACTGAGGATCTGGAGCTTAGAAATAGCTATAGGAAGGAAGAAATGAGTTCTCTGTTTAATTTTAACCTGATTCCCTTCACTTCAGCAACAGTTTGCCCCAAAGAAATAAAATTTAATTTAATTTAATTTTTATTAAAACAAACAATAGTGAAAAGGAATGTTAATCCTCTTTCTTATTAAACTCTCTTTTAAAATAAGCTCTCCTTTTACATGTCAGTCATGAATGCAATCTTCTATTCAGAGTTAAAGCATTAGTAGGAATTATTTCATTAAAATATTAGGTACATATTTGCTTGTTGAAGAGTGAACCTTTCTTCCAAAGCTTATATTGTTTCCTTTTCAAAACAGAGGTGAACAATATTTACTAAAATTATGCAATAACATTCTATTATCTTCAGTTACTTAAGAGAAGATTATATAATAATGCTTTTCCTGCAAACATTATCCACAAACATTGATTTTTTTTTTATTTTATAAGCAAAGACTCTCACAGTTGTAACTCTGTGTTGGTAGAACAGCATGCCCTATAAGGTCCCTTTCACATCTGGGTAAAGCAAGTGACTATAATAGCCTAAGAGACATCAGTACACAACAGCAGAAACACTGGTCTTGCTTCTTCTAAGACAATATTACTGAAAAACAGCAATTGCTATGATTGAAATAATTTTGCTCCCAGGAAATCCTATTCATAATCATGCGTTATCTCACCTCTTGTTATTTCATTCAGGTAAAGTAAAATAAATCAAGCCAAATTCAAATACATTCTAGCACTCTAACCTCAGTACCTTATTGTCCAAGTAAAAAGTCCAATCAATTCTACCTCAAATCTAAAGAAAAAAAAATACAATGGTCAAACCAACTTACATATAGTTCCTAACTAAAGGAGTCTTTAGGATATTTTTTTTCAAAAATAACATGAAAAACCTTTTCCCCAAATCACCTGAACACCAAATCATCATTCTTCTTTTCCACTATGCAAATTAACAGACATGTTTAAGCCAGACCAAGCACACAATCTCTACATCCAACCAAGCAGTTGTCATATGCTACCTTATTATATCTCTAATCCTGTGGTCCCTTTACCCCTATTCTTTGCAAACTCAACTCTTCTACATTCTTAAAATTCCTTCTTATAGGGTTTGCTTCTTTCCCCCACTGTCAGAGGACAGGGCAAAGTCAAGAAAAACACAGCCAGAACACCTGGGGTTCTGTCTTCCCAGCTTCCAGTATCTGCAAAACCAAGGAAAAACTCTTTTCATCACTAAATCTAGAAGCTGTCACAGTTCCTGCAAATTCATATGAAGACAAGGCTTACAGTTACTGGCAAATCTAGTTCTTAATCAAAGCAATTCTCTTTGAAGCTTGGATCAAGGAAAATAGCAGCACAGAATTCATTTAGAGCCCTGGGTAGGAAGTACCCTGTCTTCATGGATATCTTCCTCTGGCTCACTGTTGATTTTCTTTTACTTTTTCTCCCATGCTTTCTTTAAAGATTCTATTTATCCTTTACCATCCATTGTCCTTTCTTGGGTTGGGCTAAATTTATAAAATAAAAGTAAAAATGGAAGAATAAAAGTAAGAGAAAAAAGATGTCTTCTGTATTAGACTTACTTAGAAGTAAATTCTATTTTCATCTAAGTTGTAGCATGTATCAGCTTATTTTGATGTAGTTGTGTGCATAATATTGAATATATCTTTTGTCTTGACAAAAAAAATAGTAATTTAACTTTAGGTATTACTCTTACTACCAGAACTATCTAATTATTAATATATACTTCCTTGTCTGTCTCACAACACACATGAGATAAGTTTATGGTTGTTTCACGACAGGGCTAAGAAACTGAAATGCAAAGAGGTTATAGCTTGAAGAAGGATAAGGAGCTAGTAAACAGCAGAGTAAATACTCAGATTCACACAAGCTAGCTCTCAGTACCTACAGTTTACTTTTGTACAGTGACATTCATCTTCACTGTTAATTCGTTAATAAATTCGTTAATAAATCTAACAAATATTTACTGAATATTTATATATTCCTTTCTCAGTTTTTCAGACTTAACAGAAATGATACCGGGCTGAAAGTGGGGAGTGTGGCAGGGCTAACATGCCAAGTCTGTGACTAAAAACTAGACTTCTAAGAAAGCCACTAACTCAGACTAGTCAGGACACAGAGGGGAGGGTGTGAGAATTTATCTTTTTACTATTAATTTGGAAAGTTTTCTCATGCTAAGAAAAACACATCCACAATTAAAGAACATAAAATTCACAAAACCCACTTAACTACCTATTATTGCCTACTAAATGAAGTGAGAACAAATGATAACAGCATTTATGTAGCCACAAATTCCCTGATTTAGGACATTGAATATACACATGGGAAAAAATAGTTTCTAACATAAGAAGATGCACCCTGTATAGGAAAAAACAGCCTTTTCTTATATATTAAAAATGCTTTGCCCCAACTCTCAAACCCTGACTCCTGTGACTGCTCCAGTTAAGCCAGCACCTGTGACCTGGCTGGCAGCATCTGGGAAGGCAGCCACCTCTACCATGAAAGCCCCTGATATTCTCATGCCTGGGTGATTTTTTTAAAATTACAATTTTTATCTCACTGGATAATATGGATCTTTTCAAATTGTTTATTTCCCCTTGATTTAATTTTGGTAGACTGTGTATATGCAAAATTCATCCATTCTTTTCAGTTCCTCTGGTTTGGTGGAATGTAGATTCTTAAAGCATGTCCTTGAGATCCTCTGATTTGCTCAGGGTCTGTTATAATGTCTTCCTTTTCACCTCTAATTGGGGTAATTTTTATCTTTATCTCCTTCCTTTCATTAATAACTTGGCTCACAGTTTGTCAACCTGGTTAATTTTTTACAGAACCAATTCTTTGTTTCATTGATTCTTTGTATTCTTTATTACTATTTAATTAATTTACATCCTAAGGCTAATTATTTCTTCCTGTCTACTCTTTTTGGGTGTCACTTGTTCTTATTTTTCTAAATCTTTCAAGCACATCAATTAAGTTATCAATAGAAGATCTCTGCAGGTTGTATTTGGGTTTTGTTCATTTGATTGTTTGTGTTTATGCGGGTACTTATTAGGTTTAAGGCGCACTCCAAAAGATGGAACCATACTTGGCACTATCAGTGAGGCCAAGAATCTGAAATCAGCCGGGCGGTGGTGGCACACGCCTTTAATCCCAGCACTTGGGAGGCAGAG